TTGAAGGTCTTCTCTCCATTCTAATACGTTCTTTTCATGTTTGTTCTTCAACATTCAATTGCCAAAATTTGCAATTACACAGAGAGGGCCCCTGACATTTGACTCCCACTCTCATCTTCTCGTCTGTCGATCTCTGAAAAGCTCTAAAATTCATTTGGACGTGGACGCTGGAGGTAATTATGCAAGCCACTGAGGCATTGCAGCAGATCCACACATCCACAATAACGCTTTGGCTGCAATCTCATATTCTGACAGCGCCTTCCACCTGTTAATTCATGGTCTTTCCCATTGATATACAGCCAGGAGCACAGGAGCCAAAGGAAGCGAAGCTGCTAATGGAATTGAATACAAATAAAGCAACTATAATAAGAAGTCTATGGAAAATGTTAGTTCTATAAACAAATAGGGAGTCTGTAATATACGTTAAATCTTATATTTTACTGGAATAAATAACTAGTTATTTTTCCAACTAGTTATTTATTCGTTATAATCGAAATGCATTCAGCTATAACCAATTTGGAACTATGGTTTGATCCCATATTAGTACTGGTTTAGTCTGATTTTCAACCTGGTTCAGATGTAAGTTAGTCCTGGTAAAGTTCGGGTTTAGATCTGGTGGTACTTGGAAAGCAAAATATTAATACTTTGGAAGAACTTGAGTGAAAAACTGAGAACTACTAATCTCTGGTAAATTATGTGTAGCCTGCCTTACCTTAAAAGCATTTAAAACAAGTAGTGCATAGTGTATAATTTATTATTAGAAACAATAGTCAAGGCTTGTCTTCTCATGTATTAAGACATAAACAGGCTTGTTTATCTGGGACTAAACAAAGAAGGTTTCTTCTGTCAGTTGCAGTTGGCACACCTTTTTAGTAATACCTGTGGTTCTGTGACGTTAAACCAACAACCTCTGACACACATGTGCACACAGACTTATCTGAGTCCAACCCACTCCACCCTCCTCTCCTGCCTCTCTCTTCCACTCATTCTCTCCTTCCTTCCTCTCCCCCTATCCTCCCCCATACCCTCTTCCTTCTTCTCCTTACCTCTTCACCTACACCTCATGTCTTCCACTCATTTCTTCTCATCGCCTACCTTTTCCTGCCCCTCTCCTCCTCTCATATCCCCTTTTTCCTCTCCTCCACTCTTCCTCCCCTCTCGTCCTCCCATACTGACTGTCTTTTCCTCCTTCACTATTCCTCCTCTTCTCCCTTTGTTTTGTCTTTTCCTCCTGATCCCATAATCTATTACTCCTCACCTCCACTCTTCCTTCACTCCTCCTCTCATATTCTCTTCCTCCTCTCCTGCACCCCTCCTCCTTCCTCCACTCCTCCTTTACCCTCTTCCTCCTTTCCTCCAGTCTTCCTCCTCCTCTCTTCATCCACCTTTTCTCCTCCTCCCTCTCTCCTTCTTCTACACACTTTGGACCGTCTTAATGACTAACCCAACAGCACTCCAGAATGCGAGGAGCCACAAAACATTAGCCACCACTTAACTCTGAGTGCCTCTAAAGGGAAATGCTCGCAAGCTACACCACACTATGGATTCCTATGGTCCAAATGCAATTACACAGAACCGCCCGATGGATATGTTCAAGAGGAGATGGAGGAGTCTGAATTATGCGGTGGTCTTGGTTGGAATCAGTCAGTGAAACTCAAACCAGGAGCTGAAAAGGTTGGGGTCGATGAGTGCTGTTGGGGGCAGTCATGGATACGATTTCACATTTTAGTACAAGACCACCATATGGCCGCAGAGGAAAGGGCATTAGGCTAACTGACCAGGAGTGGGTGCTCTGGTCAAGTCTCTAAAAGCTCCAAACCAAAGACAGGGAAAGCCAATGGAGAACATAAAAGTAGAAATGGATGCTAGTTAATGCGTGCGTAGTAGTAAAGTTAAGAGAGGCAATCAAGTATAACAGGGCATTAGGCATGATATTGGTACGCACTTACTGTCAGATTAAATAAGAAGTACTACATATTATTCTAATTCATTTTTACGTTACTATTTACTAGCAATACTAAGTAGTAATAAATTAATAACTTCAGTTTAAAGGTCCTATATTACGCAAGATTAACTCTTGTGAGCTTTAAGCCATGTTATAATGTTGTTACCTCATCAGAAACCAATTTGTTACCTCATCAGAAACCCAAATTGTCTTTTGTTTCATTCACACATTTGAGGAAGCCTTAGTCTGTCTACATCTCCAAAGCTCCAAATGCTCTATTACACCCTGTGATGTCATGAAGTGGTTGTTTTCAGGATAACAGCTACGTTTTACTAGCCAGGCTGATGCTACCTAGTGCCTCCACTCCATTTCATTTCTCTCCAGCGACTAGGTCAGGATTCAGAATACACTAGATGGTTTGCAAGTGCGAGTCCGGGCACCAGCCAATCAGTGAAGAGCCATTCATTCTGCATTGGCAACGATTCCCGAGATCGAGGATTTAAAGCCGGAACAAAGAGAATGTTTGGTGAATTTTATCAAGGGGAAAGACGTTATTGCCCTTCTTCCTACGGGATTTGGGAAAAGCTTAATATACCAGTTAGCCCCATTAGCGGCACATTACACATGACCAAATAGCAGAGATTGGTTAAATAAAAAAGTACCCACCTACTGTCGAACAAACAAATTCTAATGCTGCGAGGTCAGACGGTTTCTTTGAAGTGAAACCGGCTGATGAATCAGGCTAAGGTTTTACTTTTAGTAGAAGGTAAGGACTGAAATTATCCAAATAATTCTATTGAAGGTGTATGTAAAGTAAAACACAGCGGAGCACTTTCTGTATTCCTGAGAGAAGGACTCTACCTAAATAAGCAGGGCTTGTGTGTTAAACCTGTGTAAATGAAACAAAACACAATCCAGGTATGTTTTTGATGAGGAAACATTAAAAGATAGATCAGAAAAAACTAATATAAGATCCCTTAATAACAAAAGAAAATTTAATTTTAAGCAGCTTCTTCATTTCTGGTCAGATCAGCGGCCTTATGAATCCTGATGTATATGAATCCTACCTGGATGACTGAGGGAGTACACAGACAACTTTAGACAACTTTTACAGGTGCACTGTAAAAACTTTTGGTTGGGAGTCCATCACCTGCTTGTTTCTATGGATACAACATTGTGAATGTTCCACAGTATGGCATTAAACAGCTCTTACCTTACCTTATTTATTCAATTACAGGTGATTTTATAACTCAAAAACACCTAAGCATTCTGACTGTGAGCTTGGTTGCCTCTCCACAGGTCTGACCTGTAACTTAGTCTGGTTTGGGCACCATGAAGATACAGTACAAAGGTTTAATACAATACTGTGAATCATTCCAGACAAAGCAATAATATCTCCACCAGAAAAGTTACGCAATGCACCTTTAAATACACTGACCAAAATGTTAGTTATTATCATTCCTTTTTACATATAATTTGATCAGCCCAAATGGCATTTAAATATCACACACTTTGAAAAGGAAACTACAGAAAAAAACAAAAAACTTTTAGTATCAGTTGTAGTTGTGGTGACTAAAATCAAAAGAATGTAACATAAGATTACATAAGCGACACACCCACAAGATACTCACATGAGACAATATAAACATACAGTGGCATACAATCTTTTATATATATATATAAATGCTATTAATATAAAGGCAGTATTTCTATGGTAAGGTTTCCACCTAAATAAACCACAAATAAAAGCAGAGTTGTTTGTGCGATTTATGTTGTAGCAGGAAAACAACAAAAACATGGAAATCTTAGAGCAGACTCTTCAGCTCACTCTGTTCTGAAGCCTGTCGTGAGCCACAGTTAAACATGACCAAATATAGACCCTCTGCTGACAGGGGAACAGCTGGGTACACAACATGCCCCTGTCTCAGTGAGGGGAAATATGAATTAAATATTAAAAAAAATAAAATCTAACTTGGTTTTAACACATTTTATAATAAAACAGGGGCTTAAAGGAACATTTGGGAGGCAGTGTCCACTTTCTAACCAAATACAAACTGATTTATTCTTTCGTGGTCTGCCTAGTATTAATGTTTCTTTTTATTTCCTCATTGCTTTTATCTTGTGGAGAGAGATGCTCCAGCTAACAGTCTACTTATATTCCTGTGATTATACTATATATTGATTTGCAGTTTGACTTTAAGACTTTCTTGACACAGAGTCAGCCTTTTATTTATCCATGTTAAACAATGACACAAAGATTGCAATAACACCTAGTTTATACCAAAAGACAAACAATAAATAAGGGTTTGAAGCTTAAAAGTCCTATATTATGCTAAACTGACTCTTGTGAGCTGATATTAGAATGTTGTTACCTCCTGAAGAACATACCTGCAGTTGTGTTTAGTTTCATTCACATGTTTGAGTAATGCTGCAAGTCTGTCTATATATCAAGCTCAAAATACTCAGAGGTTTTCAAGTTAACAGCTACCGTTTACCTTTAGTTCAGTATAAATTGGCCATTTCAGGGCTGAAATTATATTATATTAAGTGATTCTCGTGAAGGTCTGTCAAGTTTTAAAACACAGCAGAGCACTTGTTTGAGAGAAGAACCTAAATATGCAAGATTTGTGTGCTAAATGAAACAAAACACAACTCCCGGTATGTTTTTGATTAGGACAGCATAATAACATAGATTAAAATATTGTAATATGGGCCCTTCAACATAATTTCATGTCTTGTTCCTACTCCCATCACCTGTCTGTGTCACTGTCAGCCAGTCACAGCCTGCTTTTGTCTCTCAATCTATCACTCTATTCATATAAATGTACTCCTCCATTCTTTCATCTATGTTCCACATCCTGCTCTCCACAGCAGCAGCACAACCAGCAGCCACCTCAGCCTCTCTTGTGATACAATTCCTCATACAAGTCTGTCATACTCTCTCTTCACTGGATACTGAGGTCTAAGCTCAACTATTTGATAAACTATTCACTGCATTTCATTTATTTGTCCTTTTTTGTCATGTAATTGAAACAAAAGACACAGTTGTACTCACAGATCGCGGTTCTCCTCCGCTCTGAGGCCTATACGACCAGTCCACAGACATTCTGCTGGTGGGGGGGCTGTCGGAGGTGAAGGTGCAGGAGAGGGTGACTGTATCCCCTTTAGAGGCATGGAGCTCTGCCGGGCTGCTCACTGTGATGGACCACACCAAACTGGGCACTGCAACAGACAGGACAAAGGTGAGAAAATAAAAGACCGCTTCATATATTAAATGAAATACATTAAGAACGAAAGGTGTATGAGATTAAAAAATATGTTATGAACAAATGTCAATATTGTATTTTACAGGGCCATGTAGAGTAGTGGGCAACGGAGTAGTATAGATGTCTAAACTTAAAAGGACCTATCACATAAAATGGATTCTTTAAGCCATGCTGTTACCTCATAAAAACATACCTGGAGTTATGTTTTTGTTTCAGTCACACATGTTTGAGACTGCCCCTCCTCCAACTGAGTCTGAGAGCCCTTTACTAGAGGGTAACTTTCTCCTTAAATTCTAAATATTCGTATGTGCATGGGGATATGGGAACACTAAACACACACAACCCTTTAGTATTCATCATCACCAATGATGTCAAAATGAAGTAGCGTCAGTCACCAAAATGTAGTTGTTTCAAACCAATGATAGTGATTTGTCAGTTGCTCACCCTAAAAGAATAAAAATATATGAAAAAATATGTACATTGTACGCACATACAACACATATTTTCCACACACCTTGCTATCTGTATCAGCAATACCTTCACTCGGTATCATACTGGTAAACACATTATACACTGACTTATTTTCAGACTTTACTTTATATAAGGTTACCTTCCATAAAAGTTAATTAAACAATCAACAGAATAGCAACTGTATGAATACACCAGGCCCGTTATGACACAACTCTTTTTATTCATCACCCCTTCTGCTGATATTACCATAACTATAAATATATATGTTATTTTCTATTGTGACCCAGAGCAACTGTGAACGCTGGCATGTTGAGATGTGCCCGCAGCTCAGCCCGCGCGCTGGCAGAGTCAGCACAGTTCTTCTGAGTGACACACAAACAGAGGTCTGTGCCAGTCTCACTTCCTGTATCTGACAGCCTATAGCTACTTATGTGTCTGTCAAATGCCTTCAGCGCCACTGTGCCCCCGACCATCGCACACGCTACTTCTGATTCTGTGAGCGTCTCGTGAATGTGCTCGCTATCTGACATCAAGAGAGTGCAATGTCCACAGCAAATATGAAAGCGAGAGAGAGGGAGGGAGAGAGAGGGCGAGAAACAGGGGGAAAGAGAGAGAGGGAGAGATGGAGAGAGAAGGAGAGACTGCAGCCTGCAAGAAGGTATAGAAAATAGAATGATAAAATGATTCTGGCTGGGAGAGTCTGCACCAGGAAGAATATAAAGACATTTACACAAGCTATAGTCCCATTTTATATCTCCTATCAAAATAAACTCCCAATCCCAAAGCATTCAGAAGAGAATATCATTTTAAAAGTCCACAAAAAAGTTAGAAGTGGGACATTGTTGTATATTGTTGTTTGGTATGCAGAATTTGAATACTGTCAATAATGAAATATAAAAAAAATTGAAAGGAAAAAACTGAAATTCACAGTATCCAAACTAGCAAACGAGGGTATACAATGATATTTCTGCATTTGTACAGTTAATTTAACAGTTCACTTACTAGCCATGCTTCTGTACATTTATGGATTATCATAATTTAGTCCAAATGCTGCCACTAAGATGTGAAAATATAGAAAGTATAGGACTAATATCATTTTTGTCAATATTGAAAACTTGTTGGACCACCCCAACAAGGTACAGTTTTATGGTTTCAGGCCATATCAGGCAAGTACATGTTATATTTGGATATTTAATGGTGCCTGAATCAGTCATTTAAATGTACTTTATTTTGCATCACAGCTACAACTATTTATCTGTCTCTTAATGTTTCTTATGGGTAAATATCTGCTAATACAGCATGTCTTTCTCTAAGCCTGAGATTGGCAGGAGACTTAATGACAGGTGACTTCTTCATTATTAATAATAGAGTAGATATTAAGATCAGTGTCAATAAAAATAAGGTTGCCTTTGCATATATTTGTGTACATTGAAGGCAGTGTGTATGGCTTATCCTAGTGTTGACCTGCAGGCACAAACTGAATTGGACTACATAATCAGCGCATAATAACTCCATTTGCATCGGACTAACCAAACTGTAGTGGAAATATATGCAGCTGGACTACAAAAATAGGCAATAAAGTGGTCCCTGCGTGCATTTTTCTCAAGGAGGCAGACAGTTCATTTAAAGTTGTCTGTGTTGGACTGACTGGTAGAGACTGCTTCACTCTCAGGACCATTAAATGTTACAGTCCAATCTAAAGTGGAAATAAGAAGATGCTTTACATCAACTTAAAGGCACCAAGATAAGATTCCTTATACTTTGTAACACAGAATTCTTTTTCATTTCAGAAAATTAAATGAGCTGCAAATGAAGTAATTAATTCTAGTAGAGATCGACCGATACGTGTTTTGTCATGGCCGATGCTGATATTGTTTAGAACACAGAACAACCGATGGCCGAAATTGTTAGGCCAATATGTGGGGCTGATTTAGATGATTTTCCTCAAATTATGTAATTTAAATTTACTGCAAACTAACCACAAACCATTAAGTGTTGTCACGTTTTGTGCAGCTATCTCTTTGTATTAAAGTGTTAATATAAAACTTGACCAGACTGACTAAAACTACATATTGGCCCGTGCTGGAGATTTAAGACCGATAGTAAATACGCTAAAAAGTCCAAATATCGGTCCAATATATCAGTTCATAGACATAAAAACTGATATATCGGGCCAATATTTGGGCTTTTAGTGGTCCAATGGCACCTGTCCCTACAGAACAAAACCAGATTTGAACAAATAAAAAACAAAACAGTGTAGGTCTACTCTGTTGCTGTGTTACCTCATGTGGCTGGGGACTAAACATTAAATTGCAACACATGCAACAGTTGCAGCACCCTGAAAGACACTGCTCTGGATAAAATGATAATGATAAAGGCTTCTGTACTATGTGTCACTGAAACTGGTGGGTTTAAAGGTCCTGTATTACCCCAAATTAACTCTTGTGATCTTTAACCATGTTAAAATGTTGTTACATCATGGTGTTGTGCTTTGTTTGATCCCACTTCATTAGTCTGTCTACATCTCCAAAGCTCAAAATGGTCAGTTAAACGTTGTGACATCATGTAGCGGAAGTTTTGAAGTGAACAGTTCCTTTTACTTTTAGTTCAGCAGAAATTGACAATTCCAGGAATGAATTACCCAAATGATTCTAGTGAAGGTTTATGAAGTTTTAAAACATAGTGGAGCACTTTTTGTACTACCACATGACATTACAAAGTGGAACAATCTTTTCTGTATAAATATGCAGGATTAAACAAGTGTTAATGACACAAAACACAACGCCAGGTATGTTTGTGATGAAGAAACACTATTACAGTATAAATATAGCTGAGAAAATAATGCAATACGGGCCCTTTAAATAATAAGTAATATACCAGTTAAAGGGTGTGTTTTCATAGTATGATAACAGCTACAACTACAGGGCTACTAATAAAACAACTAGCAAGTGCTACTACAATTATTTCAACAACTACTACTACCCTAGCCCTAAAACTGCATTTTGGAGAGATACTGTTTCTGATATATAATGTTATTTTACAGCCACGTGAACTGGTCAGATCCAGGCGTGCATACCAGAACATACCAGCTGTCTGCAACCACCCAAGTTATTACTAATATGAACTATGTACCTTTGGCACCTGCAGTATCTATAAGCTCTCCAACTCTGGTTCAACTCACGTGACCGAAAACTACGCAATGTTAACTTATTTTTACAAAGTGGCCTTGGGCAATCCGTTTGTTTAACGTGTTTTAGTGGTGACCCAGATGCTAGTTTTAAACCTTCAGGCCATAAAGCACAACAGCAATTCAAAGCTATGGGAATGTCCATTACTGCAAAACAGAAATGGCACCTGTCTGCTTTGCTTACGATCTGTTGTGGATAGAGCAATGCGCAGTTGTTTACTTTATTTGCGCATAATACGAGATAATAATTCGATCCTTTTAGACATCATGACATGAAGTGGATTAAATTAGGTATTCTTAAGAAGTACAAAATGTGTGTAGACCGTGAAACCCGAGCCGTGTGTGTGGCCTGGTACTTACCGAACGAGACCGTCAAGTATAAGAGCAAAACTTTGTTCAGAGCCGTATTCCCGTGGAGCAGTCGACGCATTGTAAGCGAAAAGAGCTCAGTTCAGTGACGTTATAGCAAAAAAGGCCAAAAACGACGTCAAAGAGTTGGAATTTTTCCGTCCATTCTCCTCCTATCTCATTGTGACTCAGTGCTCCGCTGTGGCGCTGCTACCTGACAAACAGGTGTATCAGGAAGTGACCGTGGGAGCTGTTCGTGGAAACATGGCACAGCTGATCAAACACAAAGAAATACATTAAATTAAAAGGGCAGCAAACGTTAATTTTGTATGTATTTATTGTCATATTCCAGCTACATTGTACTGAGATATGCAGGCGCGTCTGTAAGAAAACAAAACAAACCACTTATGTCAGTTTTTAGCACGTAGCTGTGAATATTGTATAGCCTACCTATAACTAGTGTTATAAGCTGGAATCAGTCAGTCAGTTTGCTCCAACTTTATTTTCACAGACTACTTGTTGCTCATTCAAATTTGCCTTTATATGGAAAACAGATAAATGGCATAAAAGTACATTTATTATGGATATTACAAGCTTACTCAAAAGTAGTATATATTTATTTATTATTATTAAATTAACCATTTTGAACTAGAAAATACGTGTTATTATTCACTGTAGCCTAGTAGTTATTTTACATAGAAGTAGGCCAGGGATCTCCAACTTGTTGCTCGGGAGCTACAAGTAGCTCTCCACCCCCTTTCAAGTAGCTCGCCAAGGAATTCTGAATTACACATTTTCCCGAATAACTCAGATTTGATTAATTAAATGCCTATCATTGTAAATCTATCATTTTGATGCCCGACTTTGTGCACTCAAATAAATAATGGTGTATCTAACTGTACCCCATCTAAGGCTTGCCATGGCTCTTGTGTATTCTTTATGTTCTGCGACTAAAATTAGTAGCTTTCTGGAATTTTTGTTTTGTAAAGGTAGGTCACCTGAGGAAAAAGGTTGGAGACCCCTGAAGTAGGCTATGTAAAATAATAGGAGAAACAAATCTCAATTCTTAAAAGGTCCATTTATACTATATTCTGATCTATGTTATAATGTTTCCTCATCACACACAGACCTGGAGTTGTTTTTTGTTTGATTTGCACATATTTAACACACAAATCCTGCATATTTAGGCAGAGTTTTCCTCTCAAACAGAAAACGTGTGATGTCATTTGGTAATACAGGAAGTGCTCCACTGTGTTTTTAAACTCCATGCACCTTCCCTAGAATCATTTGGATGATTTCTACTGAACAAAAGCTGCTAATATTAAAACTCTCGCTTCATGACATCGCAAGGTGGAACAGAGCATTTTGAGCTTTGTAGATGACAAACTCATAATAAAAAATACTAAACATGTGAATTGAAACAAAACACACTTAATGAATGCTTTTGACAGAGAAACAAAATTGTCAAAATTGTGCTCACAATAATCCATTTGGTGTAATATAGGACCTTTAACCTATAGGGTGTATAGGTTCACTCTTTCCTGCTTTAGTCCTAGACTTGATTTGGTTCTGTCCTAGTTTTGTCATGGGTTATACAAATGTATTTTTATTTTTGGTTGAGACCCAGTTTAGTCCCAATTTTGATGTGGTGTAGAAAATGAATTGCTCTATCAACAGACCTCATGTGGCTTACATCATTGTATAAGTGCCTCTGCCCCCTCACATGCCCATATCAGTATTGCCCTCAGAGCTTCTATTAAAACCAGCTTTATTAAAAATGATAAACCCTGGTCCTTGTTCATTAATGTTTAGCCATGGGTGCTTTCTTTTGTCTTATCTCCCCAGCCCGTCTGTGTAAACCTCTCATTCTCTGCTGGGACCATCCTGCTATTCCGAGTCCCATTACCACACTATCCCTGTCCCGAATCTGCTTTGTGTCTTCACTGATGTAATTACCTCTAATGGGACGCACTATTTGTTATTCCAGCCCTCACTTTGGTGTAATCCTTTATCTGCTCTCCATGTTTGCACAGAGTCCTTTGATGATTTTTTATGCCTTCATTTGGGATGGAGGGCTTGCTGCCAGTCACATCCACAAATTTAAAGATGCAGAGGTTATTTACATAATCTTATCTTGTCATTTTATAGCTCTATAATGCAAACAGACCATTAACCCTTTATGAGACCTATGTCAATATTTAACACAGAGGATGATTAAGTTAGAAACAGTTTTAATTTGTCAACACAGTTCACACACACCCACACATTGGTCTTGATATAAGAGATATAATAGGAGATTAATAGTTGGGCTACTCATTGGTGCATCTTGCATTATGTTGCATGTCTATACCAGGCCGTTGTGGATCCCATCATAATAAAAATACATCATGCATTAAAAATTACTATAATAGCTGTCCATCTTCCAATGACAAATGATGTATGACATATGAAGCCCTACTCGCCATAGAATAATTCAAGTATTGGTGCTCCAAATATACTTTTTACGCTGACAAATTAAACATTTCTGCAACCACCAAACTACATATAGAATAAAATGGAAGGAATTGGAGAATACATTTCTTTGCTAATAAATGCACAATGAACCTTCTTGAGGAATTGGCTTCTTATTCTTTGCAATGGATGTCCAAATTGGTTACTCTAAATTGGGAACGTTAAAATGAGCAGGCTTGCATTTTCACAAATCTGACTCTTATTTGGCCTGGAGGAGGGTCTCTTCTGGCTTGCTTTTATGGAAATATTTTTAATTTGGCTATAATACTGGCATGGCACAAAACTCATCTGTCTGGAGAGGTATGGTTTAACTTAACTTCAGTAGAATCATAACCAGGCTGACCCCACCTAGTGCTTCCGCTCAATTTCATTTCTCTCCAGCAACTAGGTCAGGAATTGGAATCTCGACCCCAGAAGTGTGAGTTCGGGCACCAGCCAATCAGCAAAGACACGTACATTCTGTGTTGGTAACGATTCCCGAGATTGAGGATTTAAAGCCGGAACAAAGAGAATGTTTGGTGAATTTTATCAAGGGGAAAGAAGTTATTGCCCTTCCTCCTACAGGAGTTGGGAAAAGCTTAATATACCAGTTAGTCCCATTAGCGGCGCATTACATATGTCATGACCAAATAGCAGCGATTGGTTAAATGAAAAAAGTACCCACCTACTGTCAAGTGAATGGTCAGAGGGTTTCTACGAAGTGAAAGCAGCTGATGAATCAGGCTAGTAGAATCATGCCACCTCCACAAATTTCCACGGTGCTGTTTTAATAGTCAATACTTGTAATTATTCAGGTCACAATGTATAGAATATAGGATTTTTAGAAGCAAGATTAAACCATTTCAAACCATTAACTGAAATGTTAATATGGTATTTCCTGTTGAGAAAATATATAATAATAAAAGACGTTAATATTACTTTAGTACTGTATGAAGCAACTGCACTGCTGTGGTTGAATGAGTTGTTGGAACCTGGATGAAAATATCTCATTCAAACTAACCCCAGCTGAACCTTCTACTGTATAAAACTAAATAATAGACCAGAATGATGCTGGCAGATTTGTCCTTGTTCACTGTAAACTAATATAAATGCCTCTTAGCTGGACTTGTTCTCACACAGATCCCATTATGTGCTTTATTGTGCTTGGATAAAAAGCTCTCTATTCTGTTCCAGTGGTCTCAGGTTTAGTTGCAGTCTTTAGCCACAGTGAAGTCTCTCGGGGTCCAAATGAAGACCACTGTTCTTCTGCTGTCAGCTTCAGGGGGCTCTGAAAGGCGTCTTTTACATTTGTGAAAAGGGGAAAACATTAGACTCTTGAACTGGGAGTCTGGGAAGAGAATTTAAAGATATCACACAATAAAATGAACATGAAATAACAGAACTTAGTGGAGACTCTTGGCACAAAATGCTGTATCCTGATTGCAACTTTAACAATGACCACAGTCATTGTTAAAGTTTAAAGGCTATACATTTTCTGATCTATGTTATAATGTTGTTTCTTCATCAAAAACATACCTGGAGTTGTGTTTTGTTTCATTCACACATGTTTAACACACAAACCCTGCATATATAGACTAGAGTTCTTAGGGAGTTCTCTCAAACAGAAAACAGTCTTTTCTACCTTGTGATGTCATGTGGTAATACAGAAAGTGCTCCATACAGCTTCACTAGAATAATTTGGATAATTTCAGTCCTTGAGATGCTCATCTCTGCTGAACAAAAGGTAAAAGGTAGCTGTTAACTTGAAAACTACCACTCCATGACATCACAAGGTGGGACAGAGCATTTTGAGCTTTGGAGATGTAAACAGACTGTGTGAATGAAACAAAACACAACTCCAGGTAAGTTTTTGAGAAGAAAAAAACATTCTAACATGCTAACTAACTCACAAGAGTCTGTTTTTTGTGGCTCTGTTCACATTTGTCATGGTTTAGTCCTGGTTTGAGCCCAGTTTAGTCCTGATAGACCTGGTTTGGTTCTGTTTTAGTCACGTCCAACTTCAGTCCCAATGTTGATGTGATATGTGTGTAACTGTGAACACAACATACAACAATCATTTGAAACATGTTAAAGTTTAGAGGCCACTTTGTTCCATGTAATCTTAATATGCGATATTCATAAAAGCATTTAAACAGCATTCTGCATAACTGTATACCCACTTTAACTGTCACTTGTCACATTTTAGCATGTCTTCATTTAAAGTCAAACACAGATAAAAATGCATAATGATTTTTAAGCTTAAATCAGAAACAGTGCTAGATACAACCGACAAACAGGTGAGGAATGCAAACAGAGGCAAAATTGAGTAACACTGAGAGCAGATGAGACTGCAGTGATTATAATCTCCATAAAACACACAACACAGACAGAGCAACGTCACGTTTGTTTTTACTAGTTTTATGAGAAAACTGTGATAATGAAAAAGATAACATTAAAATTTCACTCGATTGAGTACTAAGGATTGCTCATTATTTTTGATAGCACAATGATGACTGAAAACACTTGATAGAATAAAAATTCTGAAGTAAGAGCAAATTTCACCATTTAATATTTTTCTAAACTGTACGCCATCACTCCTCAAGTCCCCCTAAAAGTATATTTTCTTTTTCTAGAAAGCCGACACAGAATATTTACTTTTAAAGGGGAGTATATGGCTTTCAGTACGGCAATGTTATCGCTCTCTAAGAAGACTGTTACCTTCTGTGGAATGTGTTTTGGCAGCCAGTGGAGCTCAGCTATCAATGGTCCACTATAGAGAGAGAATAACAATGACACTGCACAAATGTATCCACTTTCTGAAATAGACAAGGAAATATGAATTGGTCCATATTCTAATTCACACAGATAATATTGTTCAAGCTTGAATCGTTCCCGTAATACAGCCAATTCTGACTGTTCCCTTCAATAAATAGCTTCAATAAACAGCATTTGGGTGTAACTCCAACTGTGGCCAGACAGATAGACTTTGATCAATGAGCAGAATTAGGCTCCTGGACACACACACACAAACATTTAGTGCTAATGTATTCACAGTCATGAAGCGTGTCACCTTACAAACAAGCCCTGTCTACATAAAGTCACAGCTCAGGTATGGATATATGGGCTTTTAATGCATAGCAACAGGAAGCAAATGCAAATAGAAAGCTCATTGCAATGGGGTTGTTACATTTAAGGTTCCCATTTAAATTGATTTTTGCGGTGGTGCTTCTGTGGCATCTTTCAGTATATTTTCTTAGGGTTTTGACTCAAACTTAGAGCTTGTTGAGTTGTAATTTTTGATACCAGTCACACGCACATCCCTTCTTTTTTACTACGTGACTTTTGCGTTTTCCAATGCTCTGGATGTGGTTTGAATTCTTCCCTCGCCTACATTCCATATGTTGTTACAAAAGTACACTGTGAAAATTAGCAGGCTTGTTTGTTGAGGCCTAACTTTGCTTAAAATAAGAAGTTACATTTTCATAGTATTATTCATGGGAAAGTAGTCCATACTTGAGATTAGAGAACTGGAGCACCACTTATTAAATATTACAGTAATAATGCCTTTGTATTATTTACCTGCCTTCTGTTTTAATCAAATGAAGCATGTTTATTAAGGGCTTGAATACAGCCCATGAATTATTTGGTTTGTTTATAATAATATAATAAGCAGTCCTTATTCTCCTCCTATTTTAGTGTTAATGGCTTATTAACATTATTAAACATCTACAAATGATAGTTAATTCTTTATAAGTTCTTATAAACAAATTACATTCTTCACTTATTATAAAGCATTGCCCATATATTTACTCAATTACAAGTTTTTATATGTCAAAAATACCTTTTTATTATGCACAAGCAGATCTGTCCTGTAACTTGGCTTATAGTATTTGTCTCCATGGAGATTTAATAGCATGTTTAATGAAGAAAATGCAGTAACATGTTTGATGTCTTCTGTATGTATATTAAATGCAGAAAATAGTAGTCAAAAGTTTGGACACATGCTCTCATTCATTCGGGGTTGTTGTTGTTGTTGTTGTTTTTTATGAGGAAACAACATTATAACATGGATCAGATCATAGCATAATATAAGGTCTTATCTATCTTGAATTTGTTAAATTGCAGGTCTTTTTATTGCAATCCTTGCAATCTTTTATTCTTGTGGCAGTGGCCTCTCCACATGTTTGATCTGTAACTTGTTATCTGCTTGCCTTTGTGGAGATAAGTAAGTGAAATATCATATGTAGAACTTTTCAGGCAAAGCAATGGTATCTGCATGGAGACATGGAGACTTTCCTCCCCCAAAAAGTTATATAGTGCACCTTTACATTCCCTCTCAAATGCTTTGTGCAAATAGATCACAGTTCTCTTCCTCACCTGTAGGGGGAGACATGCAGACTGCAATCACAACAGTCCCTAGATCAAACCCACAACCAGCTATAGTGTGTATAGCATTGTAGTCCTCTAAATCAAGTATGAATAGATGCAGCCTATCATAATGAAATGACCAGATATCATCACATCCTCTGACTGAGTGGCAACTGTCAAAAGCATATTTTTCACTTCAATCTTCAAATATTTTTGAACACGACACTTGCTGACTCCAAGGTTGCTCTTTGGCAGCTTCTCAAAGACAGTTATAAACAAGCTACAATCACCTGTCTATCTGTTTATTGTCAGTCAGACTCCACCATGACACTGCACCCCTGTTCATTCAAATAAAAGACGATAAGAGGGAACTTGTGGGTTTGAATCTAAGGCAGATCACTTGAGTCAACATGTTCTGCTTGTTTCCAAAATACAAGTAGACATTGATTCATGGGATTCAGCTTGTTTGTTACAGGTGACATTTTGAGGACTTTTTACAATTCAGAATAGATCATATTTAATTTTCAATAAACAATTGCTATGGCAACCATCCATCAGCTTCAAAACATCAACATATGCTAACACCCAGTGAGTTATGTACTGTATTGTACACTGCTACTGCTGAAAAAAACACATTTGCATTTTAATTCCATGGAGATGTTATTGCTTTGTCTGGAATGTTTCATACAATCCAGACCAAGTTACAAGTCAGATCTGTGAAGAGGCAATCCCGCTCACAGTAAGAATGCCTGTTTTTTTTTAGGTATTTTTAAGCTACAAAACTACCTGTGATTTAATAATTGTAAGGTAGAGCTGTTTAATGTCATATTGTGGAACTCTCCAGGCTGAGCAATGACATATCCACAGAAACAAGTAGGTGACAGACCCCCAACCAAAAAGTTACATAGTGCACCTTTAATAATACTTATCAGATCTGTTGTTGAAAATACAGTGTGTATCTTTTCGATTGGGCTGTGTTAGTTTTCAACACAATTCGAATTTCCGCACAAAAAAATGGGATAGCTTATTAAAGATAATGATTAATCATAATAAATATTGGACAACATGGCTGCTCTGTTGCATTATAAATAAGTTGCATAAAATCATGTCATGTGTCTTTATCATTTATTAAACCATAACACACATTCAAGTGTACAGTTGTTTTATTAAAAATACTTTACAAAAGATCTATAAAAGTGACTCACAGTAAAATACTTCTGGCATTGACTAGAAAAAAGACATCTATAAAGGTCACAGGTAAAAAATGTCTCAACACAGTTACAGTTAGTTGTTAGTACAGGCGATGCATTCAAAGACACAAGGACTTTTTTGCTACCTGTGGGTTTTCAGATCTGTGCTCATTCCAGATAATGCAAGTGTGAAGACATGCAGTTGTTGTACAGTGATGCAGCAATGGGCCTTTAGATGTACACAAACACAAATTCACATTTTTTATGAAAGAACTCTGGAGTGAAGGTCTTACAAACAAAGACACATTTTATGAAAAGACAGTTGTCACATTTCATTGAAAACTATTCATGAGATCCTTGAATTAAATGAAGCAGCCACTGACTTTTTCACATAGACATGAACACAAGGTAAACATTAAAAGCACGTAAACGTAACTGTAACGTAAACATTAAAAGTGATATGTCTAATAACGTGTAAAAAAAAATTCCATACTGTATACAGAAGTTCAGTGACTCTTAAAGTAGAGTGCATTCTCCACAGAGGCGCTGGTTCAATATCCTCTTTATAATAAGGAAATGTGTTTATAACAAAGATTTCCTGTCGGTGTCATAGACTTATAGACAGTCTATGGTCTGTATGGGTCCATATTAAATCAAGACCAAATTAAGTATGTTGTGAAATACAAATATGTTCATCATTAGCAAGAAAAGCTATAGTTCTGATAAAGCTGTTCACGGTAATAGCACAGTGTTTTTTGGCAATACCCACTCTCGATATAAACATCAATAGTTGAGCGGTCAGATCCACTGACTTACAGATTGGCAGCATGACATCAGCTCCTACAGATGAATGTTGTTGTTCTGTTCTTGGACAAGACACTTAACCCATTTTGCCCCCCAGTGTGTGCGTACATTGGTGTGTGAATGGGTGAGTGGTTCCTTGGTGTAAAGCGCTTTGAGTGCCTTGAAGGTGGAAAAGCACTGAATAAAAACGTGACGTGACCAATACAAGAATGTAACTCTGGGCTTCTTTTCAGTCCTTTACTTTGTTGGCTGTTACTGACAAAACTTTATATATTTTTTTTTACTTTGTGCTTTGCCAATAAAAAACCTTTCACCCCTTGAAACAATTTTGCAGTCTGCTTAAGCTTAGGCACATAAACTTATCAGGGAAGTTGTTAACAATAGGGTCCCGTGGCTTTTAAAAAAGTATGTCTCCAATCAATCATGTATCTCTGGAGCAGTTATTGATATAAAACGACCATTTTCCTTCAGTCTGGTGGTCATTCTTTAGGCTACTCACTGATGTCAAATATGACCTGATTTGACTTTTCCTCCTATCCTCCCCTTTAAATCTTCTTCTTTCTTTCATTTTATTTGAGCCTCAATGACAGCACCTTCTTGGCCCAGCGCCCGGGTGCCATCTTGGCGTCCCTCCAGTAGACATCTGTATCAGGCCTGAATAGCTTCATATTTCAAACATCTTTCTCTTCACACCTCTTCATCAGTCGGAGTCGTCACCGCCATCTTCATCGGTGCTTCTCTCTTCCTCCTCAGATGAGCTGGAGTCGGGGGTGCTGGGGTCTGAGATCATGCCATCGGAGCTGTCGATCTCGATGGAGGTCTGGGACAGGTAAAGGTGCACGGCGCGGGAAGGGTGGCTGTTTGGGATAAGGCAGAGGAGAAGAGATAGCAGGGGGAGTGAGGGGAGTACAGAACACAAGCCAACACAAGCTCAGTAGTTTAATATGTGTGACGTTTCCATGGACTTAAAAGGATCTCTGCTCATACATTAATTATGATACAGTTACTGGGTTGTTCGGATTGAGATTAGATGTAAATAACAGCAACATGAGGTTCACAGCGTAATGTTACAGCATTTAAATATGTACTCTGTAACTTTCCTTGTGGGGGGTACACCACCTGCTGTGGTCTTCATGGAAATGTTATTGCTTTGTCTGAAATATTACACAGTATGGTATTAAACTGCAGGTGTTTTATAGCTTGAAAAAACATTTTTATTTTGTGATTGGGTCACCTCTCCACAGACCTGATCCAGATCTGACCTGACCTACTGGCCTGGCCTGTAAGCACCTGCTCATGTCCATGGAGAGCAATATGTTTAATGTTATAGAGTGGAAGATTCTTGTCTAAGCAAAAACATCTCCACAGAGACAAGTAATATTCCACCACAAAAAGTACGACTTAGTACAACTTTAATTTGAATATTAAATGTGCTTACAATGACACTGAATACATTTTGTAAAATCTAAAAGTATAGTATCAAACTATAAATTCAACTCATGGAAACGTGACACAGTAACTAAAGCGTGTGGGATGGCATAAACAAACAGGGACAGTCATGCATGACACATTCATGAATTATTGAAATCCATGTATGTGCATACATTACACATACTTGTAATGGAAAAGACAGGACAGCAGTATTTACAACATACAAGATTGGAGTCACCCTTGATTTTTCTAATGAAAGAAAAACAATATTTTAGTCTCCATCTTCTTTTGAGTATATAAGATTTTATTGTTTTCTTTGGCCCATTTTTTAGAATAATGGAGTCTAATTTTTTCAAATTAAGAGTGAACAGATCTGAAAACCCACAACAGAAGCAAAAAAGTCCCAAACACCAAGTGAAAGATGTTCAAAATACAGCATTGTTCAAAACAGACCATAAAGTTCAGTCAATGAAGAAAATGAAATGAATTCCAATGTGCTGATGTACTGTGGATATAAAGTGTCTGTTTCCAACAATGTTCACCAATAAATCTGATCACAAATATCAGTCATAAGAAAATCAAACCAAAATACAGTGCTAGTACTTCAGTAGTGAATCATAACAGAAATGTACAGTTGTGCGATTCAATTTAGACACACATACAGTAGATTGATTGATTGGACAATGACAACTATAGTTCTTAAAAAAAATAAAAATAAAAGTTGACTCTAAATTAGTCAATCTGTTTGAATGTTTCATGTTTAATGCATATCCTATTTTTTGTGTGTTATTTTTAATATTATTTCATTATTATTAGAGCATAAAGGGTAATTAAAGGGTAACATTTCATTTTTTACTGTAGTGTAAAGTTTTGCTCGATTGATGCTTTGTTTTATAGAGTTTGCAGCCAATGGAAACACATGCTTCTATTGTTTAGAGTGCTATTATTAATACTGTGTCAAAGGCTGATGCAGCAACATCAACTCTAATGTTAAAACTCTAATGTTATAAATTTAATAATAGAAACAGCCCATTGTCCAGCTCTTATTGTTATTTTATAATACTTCAAACATGTGGCTTACTGCTGGAGTTGAATTACATAAGCGAGGAAGTAAACAGTGGAGCTACTCTATTGTTCTGTCGCTCTTATCAAACATTAGCTCTAAACAGGAAATGTTGTGAACCCTTTTAGGCGAACAGGAAAAACACGCTGATAAACCATTTCTCTCACAAATTAAAGGCACATTTTGATAATATAAAAGCTATAATCTGCAGTCTGTACATAAAAAACACATTCTTGTTTTAAGTCTGCTCCATGACAGCTCTGAGAGGAAGCAGAAAGTGGAAAAACTGTCCCCCAAAAAGGAGCACCGCAAGCCCCCGCAGCCCAGAGTCTGTGCCCCCTGGTCCATCTGTGCCAGGCCCAGTCTTACCAGGCAGTGGGGTCTTTGCGTTCTTTACGGGGGGCTTCCACGTTCGTCTCCATCCTTTGGCGCTGGCTTTTTTTGCATCTTCTGCACGACATGATGATGACCAACAGAATCACCACCGCCGCTATGCCTCCCCCGATCGCCATGGCCAGGTACAGGAGCTCAGAGAAAGAGGCTGTGGAGAAGAAATGTAGAAAACTAGATCACTATAAAATGAATGGTTTATGTTCTTTATTTTTATTGCCTTGATTGTTCTCAACACATTTTAGTTAACTCTTTTATCTTATTTTATCCTCAGTTAGGGACAATGTACAGAGACTTTAAGCTCTTAAAAAACTTTAATGTTCTGCATTAGATTATAGTTCCTAATTTACAGGAATAAATTATCCCTAAAGCAAGTTATTTAGTGCCAGTATTTTTCATAATTTAGATTTTAATTCATTAACACATTATTGGGAGATATTTTGCATTCAAAGTCAAGTCAAATTTATAAATAAAGCACATTTAAAACATTTTAGCTGCGTAAACGCTGTACATAGGCAATCTAAAGTACAATCACGGCAGTAGACAAGGGAGGATAAAGGGGCCTTTTGTACCAGGTCCGAGCATTTTAGGGGCCCAGAATTGAACCCTATTCCTATTAATTTATATTAAAGGGGGCCCATGTGAGGCTTTTTGCCCTAGGTCCCCAATTTTTTATCAATGGGCCTGAGTACAATCTCATAAAACTAACACAAAAACACAATAAAACAATACAATACACTCAGCTTGTGTTAAAAGCCAGTGCATTTGATGTTCTGATCCAGTTTGAAATACACGGCATCTTTCTCCAGGTTTTGATTTGGTTTGAGTTACATATTGTGCTTGTTAGGAGTTGAAAATGAAGCACTCACTAAACTAAACAACTTACTTCAGCTTGAAAATGTATGCACAAATCCTTGTTAGAGGCAATAGTGGCATTTACCACCAGTATGCCTTTCTAAAGATTATTGGTTCTACAAAACACGTCTCTAATGAACCAGGATGTGGCTGGTTAATTGAGTCACTGGACAAGATTTTTCACTAATTGATGAATGACTGAAGGCTTGAGTGAGATTGTACTTTTGTTCCTTTTGTATTGTCATGTGTAATGTAAAAAAGGAATTGCTCCACTGTGTTTGTAAGATCTGTACACCTTCACTAAACTCATTTGGATAATTTCATCCCTGGAATTACCAATCTCTACTAAAATGAAAGCTAAAAGGTAGGCGTTAACTTGAAAACCAGATGAAGAGAGACTGATAATGCAGAATTACTCAAACATGTGTGAATCAAACAAAACACAACTCCACGTACGATTTTGAGAACGAACAGCTTAAAAACATGGCTTATAGCTCACAAGAGTAAGTTTTATGTAATATAGGACCTTTAAAGTAAATCAAATAAAACAGCGCTCTGACCTGTGGCAACGACTTGCAGCCTGATCTCTCCCACTGTCCCATGCACATCAGGAGGGTTATTCACTTTGCAGGTGTAGGTCCCATTGTAAGTAAACTTCACCTCTCGAATTATTATGGAGGCATCCCTGCCCATGATGTCACCTGCCCACACCACACGCTTCCTGAAAGCGCCATCTATGGGCGGGTAAGGCTTCTGCTGGTAAAAGAAAATCTGCAAGAGGAAATGAAATGGGTAAATATGGAGGAGAAATTTTCAGGGGTGGATAGTCATTTCACATTTAGTTGAGTAGATGCTTTTTACTTCGACTTGAGCAGTATTCTTTCTAACTTGAGTAAAGGTTGTGGTTACTTTTCCCACTGTATGTAAGTCTATAACAAAAGCTTTATGTTGATAATATTAACTGATGTGAACATTTGTGTTTCTTGCATCGCTCCTTCTGGTTTTTCATTGTTTGTTTGTTTTTTGTATGGGATCTAGTCAAATAACAGAATCTAAAACTTTAAGCAGACCCAGTATTTGAGTAGCTCACCACATGTTTTTATTGTATTATTGTATTTAAAAATCTGTCTGTGTCTCATGGTTAAACAGGTCCCACTAGGTTCCACACCACTAAACTCTGACAGTGGAAAAACTGTGTTGTTGTGTAGGCAAGACTCTTGTGTAACTGTATTTTATTGGCATGTACACCGTTTATGACATCAGCCTGTCCAGGGATTAAAGGTGGAAATGAGCAATTTAAACAAATAAACTAAACTAAACTAGTATGAATGTGGTGTGTGTGTGAGTGTTGGTGGTGGTCGGAGGGGCTGATGGTGCAGACTGGCAGCATCGCTTCTGTCAGTCTACCCAAGGGCAGCTGTGGCTACAACAGCAACTTACCACCACAAAGTATTAAGGCTGGGACAAAATCTCGTGCCACAAGATCTTGCGAGACAAAATTACCACAAGAAACAAAGTTAAGATGAACAGAAGGCAAAAAATTGAGAACTGGATTGTATTATAAATCTTTCAAAATCTTGTGTTATCTTGTTCTTAGGGGTGTAATGATATCCAAGTCTCACAATACAATATTGTCACGGTATGAAACTCACGGTACGATATTTATTGAGATATTGTGGGAAAGCTCATGATATGGTGGGGAGGCTCTCGATTAGGGATGTAACAATATCCAAATCTCTCGGTATTTACACGATATACATCTCACGGTACGATATTTATTGAGATATTTTCTGGAGGCTAACAAAACTGTTAATATGCTACTTTTTCCTCTTAAAATACCTTGTCAAGACTTAATTCAAAGAATTAAGACTTAAAACTGCTTAGAACTGTTATTTCTTCTGAAATGAAGCAAAGGATCATGGTCTATGTAGTTCCCACTGTCTTCTTTTAGCTATTGCTGCACCATAACTCTTAATTTAAGCAAAGAGACTTGTAATTCAATATATTGTGATTCATGATATTACTGTAAGAACTTTGACGATACGATATCGCGATAATTCGGTTTGTTACATCCCTACTTGTTCGCGTGGACCCAATCTTCTGTCGCATCTTGTCTTGTGGAAACTGTATCTCATCCCACCCCTACAAAGTATGCAGTGAATGAGCAATGCGCAAAATTGTAAAGCGAGCTGGAAAAGCTCTGCATAACTACTTTTACTTGAGTATAAATCCTGGCTACTCTCTCTACTCTCCTCTGATAACTGCCAGGACAAAGTAGTGCCAAAGTATGCCTAGGACAGAACGCTCCCACCCACACAGCGAGAGGAGACATGAGCCCAGGCCTTCTGCTCCTCTCTCCTCTCTGTTCATTATGTCTGAGCACACACTGATGTCTGGGCTTCTCTATGGGGAGCACCATGACTCACACACGCCTTCCTCTGGCCTAAAACTGAGGGGGCGGACGCTGCCTGACACCACGAGCGGGCTTTAAGGTTTTATTTCAGATATAGGCTACCACACGCGCATATAGTGAGGAGGAGGTCTTTTCGTGACTGGTCTGTTTTTAATGGTCTGCAGACTTGTCAATTCGGAGGAAAAATGAGAAGATGACATCGCCTATTTCTATCAAGTATCCCCGGATGGATGCTCTGCTCCTTCTTTCACAAAAACTCATCCGCTCTCACTATTCTTAAATTTCATCTTTGGTCTTTCTAAGACTTTCTACATTTGTAACCTCAGCGTTCTTCTAACCATATTTAACAATGAAAAATCCTCTAAACCTTCATTTATATTTACTCACTCTAAAATATAACACAAATCTAGGGATGTAACAATATCCAAATCTCACGGTACGATATTATCACGATATGTATCTCACGGTACGATATTTATTGCAATATTTTGAAGTGCTAATATAATTATAGAGAGGACACTTTTTTGCTTTTAAAATGCCTTGACAAGATTTTGGTGTTAACTATTTCCGTCATAATCCCAAGAATTCAAGTAAAAAACATATTTCTTCATGTTGTCTGCACTGAAATGAATCATGGGGATTGCTACTATAAAACCATGCATTTATGCAAAGGAACTTGTAATTCGATATATTGTGACAGTCCATGATATTATTGTGAGACTTTTGACAATACGATTTCACGATATTCCGGTTACTGTTACATCCCTGTTACCATCAATACTCAAATCCAATCCTAGTCTCTACATGTTATATACAGAATTTTATATTTCACTCGCATCTTAAAGTATGTTTTGAATTATTATTTGCTGTATTTTGCCATAACCTTAAGTCGTTTGCAAAACTTTCAGTTTTGTTGAATAAAATGGCAAATTCCCATTTCCAAAATGTGCTCTTGTTCCAGGGTGCAATTAACCAATGGACCAAGGCCTAGTGGTAGACTGTGTGGGTGGAACAAATTCTCCATTTCCAACTCAAAATAGTTTTAAGAATTATTAGAAAAGATTAAAGAACAAACTGAAACATAAACTTTGTTAATTAAACAAGTCAGACAATTGTTATGTGACAATGAAAATGACTAATATTTCAACCAATACATTGTGCACCCCATCTCCGTCTTTTTCTCTATCTCCCTCCCTCTCTCGTTCACTCTCTCTCCCTCTATGCCTCCCTTTCTCTCTATCTTTCTCTCTCCCTCCTTCTCTGTCTCTCCCTCTCTGTCTCCTTCTCTCTCTCTCTCTCTCCCTCTCTGTCTTCTTCTCTCTCTCTATCCCTCCCTCCCTTCCCCCTCTCTCCCTCCCTCTCCCCCTTCTATTGCTTTCTCTCTCTTTGTCTTCTCTCTCTCTACTCCCCCTCTTCCTCCCTCTCTCTCTCTCCCTCCCTCTCTGTCTTCTTCTCTCTCTCTATCACTCCTTTCCTCCCTCTCTCTCCCTCTCCCCCTTCTCTCCCTCCCTCTCTGTATTCTTCTCTCTCTATCCCTCCCCCTCTCTCTCTTCCTCTCTGTTTTCTCTCTCTCTCTCTCTCCCTCCCTTTCTCCTCCCTCCCTCCCTCTCTCTCCCTACTCTCTGTCTTCTTGTCTCTCTCTCCCCCTCTGTCTTCTTCTCTCTCTCTGTCTCTCTCTCTCTCTCCCTCTCTGTCTTCTTCTCTTTCTCTCTCCCTCTCTGTCTTCTTCTCTCTCTCTCCCTGTCTCTCTCCCTCTGTCTTCCTCTCTCTCTCTCTCTCTCTCTCTCTCTCTCCCTCTCTGTCTTCTTCTCTCTCTCTCTCTCTCTCTCTCTGTCTCTCTCTCTCTCTCTCTGTCTTCTTCTCTCTCTCTCTCTCTGTCTTCTTCTCTCTCTCTCTCCTCTCTGTCTTCTTCTTCTCTCTCTCTCTCCTCTCTCTCTCTTCTTCTCTCTCTCTCTCTCTCTCTCTCTCTCTCTGTCTTCTTCTGTCTCTCTATCCCTCCCTCTCTCCCTCTCTCTCTCCCTCTCTCCCTCTCTCCTCTCTCCCTCTCTCACTCTAAATTTCCTTCGGGACAAACAACGTAATCTTGGATCTTGTGTGTGCTCACCAACTCCTCCCCGCCCTTTGTGAGTGGCCTGAAGCCCCAGGTCACAGTGAGCATTTGTGGGTTGATCGGCGCTGACGTTTGAAAAGTGCATTTCAGTTTCGTATCTGTCCCGTTCACCGCCTCCAAGTCTCCAGGAGTGTATATCTTTATCCCATTGACCTGCAGCAGCCCTGGAACAACACAAACCAAATACACAAATATAACACTCCATGTACTAGTATTCCATATAGGCCTTATTGCTTAGCAGGACAGATATTCAGAATGCAGAGTGGAGTATAGATTTGTCATCATTAGTTTCCTGCGCTGGACCCAGTGACCTGCCTCCGCCTCCACAGCGCCACAGCAGCAAAATCACTAAGTCATTTCCACAAGGTGCACAGTAATATACAGGCTCCTAAATGTCAACAAATGTTTTCTATAATGAACGGACAACAAATGGTATAATGGCCGCATACAGTTAAACTAAAAAGGATCACCAATTTTTGTTTTCATTGATTATGTTACACCATGGTGGCAAGTGGCAAATTGAAATCAAAATAGGCATTTAAAGTACATATCTGCAGTAATATAGTTTTTGTAGTGATGTTAAAAGCCATAATAATAGTGAGCGCTATAAGTAAAATATCTTTTTTAAATGAAATGTAACAATTTATCCAACTACAGGGTGTGACACTTATGATTGTGTAAGTTTGAAAGGAAATATATACTGCTGCAGCCTGCATACTGCACCTTTAACGTACAATGGTGACTTGGTTGTAGAGTTGACAAAAATATAGATTCTCAAATACTAATTGAGACAAATTTGTCTCAGTTAAAACTAGAAAGTCATTTGAGCAAATATCGATAATAAAAAATAAAACACACACACACATACACCAGACACAAATGGACCTTGATCTGCACTACCGGTCAAAAGTTTTAGAACACTCATTTTTCCAGTTATTTATTGCAATTCAAGTCGTGCAAGTCCAGTGAAGACTTGAAATGGTACAAAGGTAAGAACTGAACAGCCAGAGGATAAAAAAAGATAAAAAAACAAAACACAAGTCAAAGCTTGGCCAAAACTACCTCAGGAAAAAAGAGAGATAGATGGTAAGCTTGAAAACATGGAGTGTCCAGCACAGTCTCCAAACTTCAACCCCATCGAGTTGGTTTGGGATGAACTGGACAGAAGAATGAAGCAACCTACAAGTGCCACACATTTATGGAAACTTCTGCAACAGACTTGGGGAGAACTTTCTCAAGAATATTTGATTTCTATTCTATTCTATTCTAAAAAGAATGAGTGTGTTCAGCTGTTATATCTGCCAAAGGTGGACACTTTCATGAATCAAAAGTTTCGAATAACAGTAAACATTAAAAAAACTGGAAAAAGTGTGGTGTTCTAAAACTTTTGACCAGTAGTGTACATCAGAGCTACAAGACCACATGAAAACTATAAATTAAACTGCTGTTATTATTTGAAAATTAATTCATTTTAATTTTGTCATGAAAGCAGTATCGAAATCATTGTCAATGATGCAACTATGTGGTTGGTACACTGTTAAAACATATATTGTTAATTAAAATGTGAAAATGCTTCAGAGATTATACTAATTATTGATTACCTCCAATCCCATGAACATAACATTATTACAAGCATTTCATACCAGGAGCTTTTTGCCCAGTAGTTTAACAGTTTAACAAAGCACATGCCCAAATGTTAAGTTACACAACAGGTTCATTTGCACCTCTTAGAAGCCTTCGACTAGGGCCAAACAGGTGACAGCATGAATTACCTTCACTTTAGCTGGACCGCGGCCGCTCAGTGGATTTGTGAGGTGCGCTATATTATTGGACTATGGACTATATCAATCTTTACTGTACGTGGAGGACCTATTAGGAGTGAAATGAATGGAGCGGGGAACAGACGGGCTATTGGCAGCGGTTTGGGTCTTTCTCTGTCATGATGGATTGGGTTTATAGACATACAGCCTCGAGTGCTCAGGAAGAGACATGTTTAACACTGAGTTACAGCCTGGCCCAGAATCCAACTCACCTTTGGAACTTCACTACATATTTTATTCAGCGAGATCATTCAGAGCCATTAAAGCTATGGGGTGGAAATGTGGAAATGCAGCCAAATGCTTTATGGACTCACAATATACGGTCTATGGTAACCTATAGATATACACTTAGAGCAAAATGTTACAATATCAGCTGTAGAGAAATGGTGTGGGAAAGATGCTCTGTAGTAGGGCTGTGCAGTATGGCATGTTTCCCCTCATGTCATCTCAACCATATGACGATTTTGAATTTGATTTTATTTTTCTTTTCAAAAACCAACAAAATTATCATCATGTATAGAAATAGACAGATTTACTTTTTAATATATTAGCTATCAGTCTTAAATCTCCAAAACCGATACTTTGTTTTGGCCAACCTGCTGCTTAAAAAATACAAACAAAGCTTTATTTTAGCTCTTTAGCGTGAAGAGATAACTGCACAAAACATGATTACACAGCTCTTTTAAAGGATTATGTTTAAAAAGGGCTGTGGGTGAGTTTGTTATAAATTAAAAGTACATAAATAAAATAACATTACATCTGGCGAAAATCATCATAAATAGCTTTTCACGTTTGCCCAAAATACCAGCAGAGTTTATAGGCCACTAGTTTCTCTGAAGTCGAAATGATCGCTATTGGTATTAAGGATTTGCGTGTGACATGGCAGTCACATGATTTAATGTTTTGGCAGCCATACTGGAGGTCAAGATTGGGATTATTCACTTTATTACAATATAATCATGGCTACTTTAAACAGCGCAAACAACAGAAAACTGTCCGAAATTGCCAGCTCGTTAGATCAGCCGTCATTAGAAAGGTATAAATCTAAAGTCATCCTCCTGGGTTATGGAATAGATCCCGATCTAATTCCGATAGAGCGCTTTGTCAGTCTAATCAACACTTGCTCTGTGCCCAGTCTTTAGGAACCAGATATTTACAACTACTTAATTCATTCAACATTGTCCTACACCAACCAAGAATTGAAAAGTACAGAAAGATTTTGTAGTGGGATGCGTGAGATCTTTGTTGATCACCAAGTCATCACATCTGTTCCTGATAACAGTGAGAGTAAGTAGAATGGAGGTCAAAATCAGAGCCGGAGCTGCTACGACGGTAGAAATAGAGGACCGGGGTGGGGGGGATTCCTTGCTTGGGACGTGAGGACGGGGGTGTGTGGGGAGGGATTCCGTGCTGGTACACTGGCGAGAAAAATACTTTTGGTATTTGGTATCATTTCATTTAGTGTAAATCTCTTCGTTTGTGTGGAGGTGGTCCCTCACCAGAAATGAAATGTTAACTGCACAGATGATTGTATTCAGTGAGCTCCCATCCCTCTCTTTTTATGTCTGCAATCATTTGTGTCTGTGATCTTTATCAGCCGGGATCCGATAGAAAGATATTTTGGCCTCCTTCTTTAGCAGATTGACTCCAGCCAGAACATCCAATAGCAACACAGGTCAAAACCAAAGTTATTCAATTCAAATTTTATCGCACACAAATACTGCAGCTCGACCAGATGGATAGTTTGACCTCCAATATGGTGGCATCAACACCAGCTCACGTGGTTTTGTGACATAGATGCAAAACCTCAGCAACCTCAACATATCGGATGATCGCTTCATGTATATAAACAAGACATTGCCATTTAGGACAAAACACAGTAAAAAATAATAATTCCTCCAAAGTCTGAACTCTGCTCCAAACTTTTTCTGATAGAGGAATGGCTGTAGACAATTTGAAATGACTGGATCTCAATTTGATTAAAATTTTAAAATTTTTTTTACCAGCCCAACTCTTTACTGAAAAGTTTCCAACAAATTAAACTCACCAAAGTTACAGTTTTGTAATTAATTGCTTGAAGTTATTGTATGTAATATTCAAAATTGGGTTACATTTACTTTGGAAAAATACTGAAAGCTGGATGCCCTCCCAGCCATTTTGTCTATACCATAATGGTAAACTACAATAAGTATTCCTTAATCTTACTCAATTCAAAAGTGCTTAAAACTGGCAAACTACACCCAGTTACTCTTTGAATAGCTCCAATAAAACTATAATTAGTCCACACAATTTATGCTGTCTAAGGGGGAAGACGCATTGATCCACTGCACTCCTGTCTGTGTCACCTGACCTGTCCACAGAGAGCTGTCTAGTCTAATAATATTATAATCCATGTCCAGACCCATTAAAGTCACTGCCAATGTGTAGCACAGTTTAAGTCAGCAGAGACACACGGCTCTCAAAGCAGCCAAGCCTTCTGCTAACATTATTGGCACACTTCACAAGACTAACTGTGGACATTTAAGCTCTAAGAGGGGTGCCCAAACTATGGCCTGGTGCCAAATTGTGGCCCTCAGGAAAATGTTTCTTGGTCCTCAAACTTTCTGGTGCATTGACCCATGTTATCCTGGGAGGTACTTTTTACTGCTAGTTTTAAATTGTTTACCAATAAGTATCTAATAATTATAATAGATTTGAGGCAGGCCTGATATTAGGGTTCTGAGTTTGAATAGTTGTGGTTGCATTTTAAAACCTCAGATAAAAGCTATGTTTTGAATGATTCACTGTATTGATCACCAATCTATGGCCCTCCACATGGTATATGACAACCTCCATGGAAAAAAAAAAAAGTTTGTACACTCCTGTTCTAAGAGAAATTACATGTAGGAGCCAGAGTGGAGGTAAATGTTGAATGACAAGGATGATAGGTTTAGGGATGAGTATACGTCAGAGAGCAATCACAAAGAAATACAGCTGAACCTGGACATAAAGGTCACCAAAAACAACTCTAGGTATGATTTTGACAAGGTAACAACACTATAAGATGGCTTAAAGCTCACAAAAATTAACTTTGTGCAATTTAGGACCTTTAAAAAACATGTTTCACTCTGTATGAATACAATAAGGTAGAAACTTGGAACGCCTGCAGAAAATCTTGAGAACAATGAGCCTGTACGGTATGTTTACCCAGCCCCACAGACACGTGCATGAGGCTGAGGTGTGTAGGAAGTATCCAGGTCAGCCTCCTGAGCCGCAGTAGTGAGCTTCTTATCGGAGCAGAGGGGGCTTCCTGTGAGCTGAGGAGCAGAGGGTCCACTGCGCGCTAACAGACTAATGCTTTTTAA